GCCGCGGCCAGACCCGCCCACATCCACATGCCTCATCTCCTCCCCACCTCACGCTTGCCGCTGCCAGACCCGCCCGCCCACATCCACGCTCCACACGCCGCACTGCCTCACGTTTGCCACTGCCAGACCCGCCCGCATCCACATGCATCACCTCCTCCCCCGCCTCACGCTTGCCGCTGCCAGACCCGCCCGCCCGCATCCACGCTCCACACACCTCACCCCCTCCCTGCCTCACATCACCCGACCATTCACCCTACCGTTACATGGATGGCAAAAGTGAGAGACGGGCAAGGAGAAGGCGGGGGAAGAGGCAGAGCGGGAGGGAGGCCAAGTTGCTGCACCATGGGCCTCTGGGTTGTACTTGCCCCCTGGGCTAAAAGTTGCCAGTCAGCCCCTGATGTAGTGCATTGCAATACAATGCATGTGCAATGGCTAGGTGCATTGGGGTACCATTAAGAAATAATGGGCACTGCAGCTCACCAAACATTGCAACATGCAATTTAAAGCAATGCGGATCGCGTGCAGAAATGCAAAGATTTGAACGAGGATTAATGTTGGCCACATTATTACACGATAATTGTACAATTTCCTCAAGGGTTACCAACCAACAACTATGTTACCTTTACATTTTTAAATCGTAACATGTGCCACCAGGTTTTCTCTGATACTTCCTGGTGCCATTAATCAATCTAATGTGGTTCTGGAAGGTGCATTAAAGCAGCAAAATATGACAGGCTATGGGCCATTTAAAATGATTTGGTACAGAAATACTAATTAAAAAAAGGGGAGATTTAGATATTTTCATTTATAAATCTTAAAATGATTAAACATTTTAAAGTTTTAGTAAAAAAAAAACCCTACAGAACCAACAGAATTTACACTTTTAAATTAGCTTTGACGCATTAGACAACTAAACACTCAATCTAAAAATATATGAAATTCGTAATAAAAATGTTCACTAGATATAGAGAAATGGAAGTTTAAAATAAGAACTGGCATATATGTTTAGCACTTGCCATTAACCTCCTTGGCGGTATTCCCGAGTGTGGCTCGGGTTCATTTTCAGTACTATAAGCGGTAACCACGAGTCACACTCGGGATTACAGCGTAGCGTCTCTTACCTTGTCCACGATCCCCGTTTGTGTCATCCGGCTGATGCCAGCATCGGTCTTCCGGGTTCCATCCCTTGCGAGCATCTGCGTCGCAGAGGGGCGGAACCGGTGGGAATTTTAAAAGTAAAAAAAAACAAAAAAGAGATAGAACAAAAAAGGAAAAAAAAAGTAATCAGACCGCCAGGGAGGTTAAAAGAGAAGTATGGGGTGTTTTTTCCCCATAGTTCTCTTTAGGGTCAGACGAGGACATATACTAGCATCCTCCCGTGACCCACACCTCAGTATATCGCGTACTAAGAGTGCCGCAGCTGGGATGGATCCTGACAATACTGTGGAGATCCACCCAGCAGCGCTAGTGACAGCTGGCTCTGCCTATCTAGAGGCAAAGCCAGCTGTGCCCGACCCCTCCCTCATCTGTTTCTCTAGTCCGCGCTGAAGGATCGGAGAGGGGAACCCCTGTGGGGAGCAGTGACTGATAGTCACCGCTCACTGCTCGAAGACGATCGGGAAGTGATCGGAATGGATGCATGATTCTGCTCACTTCCCGATCGATAGAGTGGACCTGTGACAGCTTCTTTGTCACAGGTCAGCTCTAAGCAATGGCACACTTTTAATATTAAAAGTCTAAAGGATGTATATTTATTAGGGATGAAAGTGTCAGTACTAAGACGTTCTCATATCCACAATGTGAGTTTGATGCCAACTCAAGCGTAAACAACTTCACCAGTCCAGCTGTCATGAAACTACAAGTCCCATAAGACATTGCAAAACTCTTGACAGCAACTCCAAGATGTAGAGGCCTGATGGGATCTGTAGTTTCACAACAGCCCATCACTGACCTAAGGGAGACATATCAGGAAGAGAGACCAGCGATAGAGAGGGGAAGTGAGATAATTGCACAACCCAGATTCAGGAAGCAGGCAAAACCACTGCACATAACAGATATGTGAAAGCAGACTTCAGTAGATTTTAGAGTATTCTAATTAAAGCTGAGTGAACTTTCTAACTTTAGCACAGTTTTGGTGTCTATTGGACAAGAATTCACAAAATGGTTTCTGGAATTGCGCTTTCTGTAACTAAAATATGTGAAAAAGTTAGACAGCAGTATTTTTATAGAAATGTAATAGAAACAGCCCAAACGTATAATTGTATTTGAGACTTGTGCTAAAAATAGGAATATTCATAAAATTTGTGAAAAAGGAAAACAGTATATTTATGATAGAAACAAAATCAATCCATGAAGCTATTCTATTATGAATCCATTTTTATACGGATATGAATTCCAGCAGAGCACAGACAACCGTGCATTACTGAGCATTGTTACAGCTAAATGCCCTATACTGTATACCTTTAGAAACCTATAATATTTGACGACAAAAGACTGTGATGAAATATGTTATATTACAATTGCTCTTTTGCTTTATGAAGCCAAGGGTTAACCCTCCTCCTCCCCCTCACCGCTGAAAAAAAGATGCTGGCATGTAAGGTAGCAATTTGATAATAGTTACTTATAAAGTTTTTAATCATATTTCAGTATTTTCAATGGGTAGTGTTGCCGAGGAACAAAATGATATCTTTTTAATTAAGCTACTTTTAGAAACTGCAGAGGATAAAAGAATAATACATTTGGCGTAACGGTAGAGGGTACTTACTGAATACTTTGACTATTATAGGCACTTCAAAAACATTTTCTGCTGTTATGAGCATGCATACAAATCTCTTTTCATCACTAATCCTTGCATTAGAAATAGACAATGTGTAGTTCTCCGACAGGTTCAGGCGACCATGGTACTCTGGCACGTCATCAAAATTGAAAGTTTTTTTCGCTTCGGAACGAGAAGCTACAAAAACCGCAGTTCCATCTTGCTTTTCCTAAAACACAAGTATATCATTTAAGGATACATTATAAAAAATAAATGTGGCTATCAAATGTACTTTCTGTTTACAATAAAAGGTTACACAGAATACACATTTTGCACATCTAAGCACTTAAAGGGATTTTAAATATCTGCTTTTTTTATTATTTCATCATATAATTTGAGCATTTGCTATTAATGCTAATCAATCAATATGAATAACTCAGCAATGATCACAGTGAATAAACAAACTACAAACAATGGTGTTATACACAGAGGGGAATTTATCAAAACTGCAGCAGACAAAATCTGGAGCAGCTGTGCATTCTCTCTTCAGTTTGTTCAGTTAAGATTTGACAATGAAAGATAGACGCTGATTGGTCGCCGTGCACAACTGCACCACATTTTTGTCTGCTCCAGTGTTGATAAACTTCCCTCATATAATTATGATCATGTCTACTGGGAAAAATCCACCGTTTCCCTACTACCCGGTACTTATCATTTGCAACAACAAGAGCCTTGTCTTGTCCTGGTACCAAATTTAACCTGCTATGGGACTGCAAGTGATATCTAAAAAGTTACTGCTGGTTTCAGGAAACAATGGACTTCATCTGTTTAGAAGTGAAGTTTCCATTTAAAAAAATATTTTACCAACTCTTGAAGGTCCTTGAATTTGTGGACTGTTTTATGGAAAAGAGAAGGTTTTGGCCATAGCAACTAGATTCCTGGTTTAATGTGAAAATAAAATTGTATTACCTACTGTTAGAAATGCATTACCTACTGTTAGACTTTAGTCCTATACTATTTTGTTCTTAAGGCATATGTGTAGGTTTTGTTCATAGCAACTACATTCCTGGTTTCATTAAACACAATTTAATTAGCTACTGTGAGTAATAGCCCCACTTCTGTCCAATACTACTTGAGTATATTAATCACCTCCAGTACCTCTGCTGTCTTACAGACCAGTGGCCAAAGAAAATGATGAGGATAAGTGTGGTAACTTAGTTTAGAAAAAAACTTGCCTTCACATTAAAACTTCCCTTCATTTTCTAGTGTACAACCCTCCATTGCCTATACTGAAAAGCCTAGTACCGAGTATGAGGCATATATTCATGCTCCACTTTTCTTCCACAGTGAAGTGCTCATGCCTGAGAAGTGAACTGCTGTCAAAAAAGGGAAGACCCTTGACAGCATGCACTAATCAACTTTGCAGCTATAGTTGATCAGAATGGTGAGTTGGAGCAGTGAGCATAGGGCATTGTAGAGTGGCTAATTTGTGGAGATTTGGATCACAGTTTACCTAAATTATAAACGCTTGATGGAAAATTTGCAGGATCCTTGTTTGTCTATACGCATCTCAAAATTATTATATATATCTCATACTATCGGCACGCACATACACCGAGCGGCCAGATTATTATGACCACCTGACGTTTGTAGGCAAATTAGCTATAATAATTTTGCGCTGAAGTTGCTAGAGGGCCAGACCATTATAAATAGGGAAGCAGGTTGTTTACCACGACAGTAGAAGTGATTTTTTTCGGAAGATATGGGTAAACAACGCGATTTAACAGCCTTTGAGGCCACTTGGTGTATATACATACACAAAAGTATGCAAACGATATGGAAGAACAATAATTTGTATAAATGTTTGATAAATCTTTGTTAGGGAAAGGTAGAAATTGCCCTAAATTTGTAAATCTATAATTTGTGACATCAATACATGTGTAGACATCCAAAGCTTGACTATTTGCACGTGAATGAACAGGAGAGACTTTTTTAGCTCTTTAGTATAATCTTTAGTACAATATCTCCTAACTTTTTTGAGCAATGGCATTTAATCTTTAAGGGCTTTTTCAGACCATGTCCAGACCAGAACAGCTTGTTCTCAGACCAAAAAAGCATCCCAATGTATCCCTATGGTATTTCTGTTTCCTGTTCACAATGGTGAAGTTCGTTCCAGTCCAGACAAAAAAAATACTGCTCATCTAATTTTCTCTGGTCGGTTCCGCACTGGAACACATATAAAACACATCAAAAATGCATGCAAACACACTGGACTGCACCTGAAAGCCCATTTTAAGCTTAAAAAAAAAAAAGGCACGTGAAGCGCGGTCAAATCGCAGCAAAAATGCACTGCACTACATTTGCAGATCTGCTCCAGACATGGTGTGAATATAGCCTTATATTGACTTCCTATGATGCCAAATCTTGGTTTAAAACCTAAATTTCAGTATATAAAAGCAGAGCTTCCTTTCAATATTCACATGCATCTCATCCTCTCGGATGTTTACAGCAGCCTGCCAGAAATGAAGCTGAACTCAAAGCAGATATAAAAACAAAGACAATTTAGTTGTTAAAAGCCATTAGCGCAAGTACTTAAATATATATCTCAGTATTATCCATCTGTAACCCCCTGTACTCTATGAGCCAATGAGGATCAGAAGCAGAATGATGACTTATGACTTATCACTCTTCTGCTGCTCCTCCATCGTCCAATCAGCAGGTGCATACTGGATCAATCTGTGGTGCTGTTGCAATGGATTTTGAGGAGTATCTAGCCCAGAAGACATGCACAGAGATACAAAATCTTTGGGAAGTAAAATAGGTTCAATATATGGATTTCAGTTGTTTATTCCGCTTGAGAGGCAAGTCTGGAGTTCAGCTTTAACCCCTTCATGACTGAGGCCCTTTTTTCATTTTTTGCACCCATGACAAGACCGCTGCCTGACCAGCAAGATTAGCAACACCATTGTATACACTCTGTCCTTGAAGCAATTTCCCAACTCTGGATTTTGATAGAGTAGTAAAAAGTAAAAACACATTTTTACATAAAAGTTACCCCATTAGACTCTTAACCCAAGAGAGAATAAACATTTCTGCATAGGCCTTTACAAAGCTAATGAGAACAAAAAAACAAAAAACAGGCATTTGGAACTTTTTTCTAGAAAGTTATTTTTCAGAAGATAAAAAAAAAATAAAATACTCTTACATATTTCCATTTGCCAAACAGAAGGTCTTGTGTTATATCTTGACCACAAGGTATATTGATTGTTTCTCCATAAATTGCACTAACTGTATGCAATCCAAAACCTGCAAATAAAATGGAAAATGGTCACAAAAAAGAAGCAAGCCCAAATATTTTCAAGCAAAAGGGAAAAACACTCAAGGAAATTAACAGATCATTATTTTTCACATAGGAAGGCAAATAACGTTTTGATCACAGGCAGCTAATAATTTGTCTCTACTCTTCCTGAGTTGGGGTTTTTAAAAGAGAGAAGCATTTCCAACCTTTGTCATGCACTGTTGGGTCACCATAATAAGTACATGACAATAATGTTAACCATACATTTTGTATAATAATAATAGCAATAATAATATTCAGAATAATAACTCTTTTGTGTCCAGGGGTAAATCGAAACCTCCATTATCATTCCAACGTTTCAAGAGTTCAGATGCATTGGTTTGCATTTTAACTGCTTCATACCAAAAATATTTTTTTAGCACATATGAGGGCTTCATTTGGTTCTTTAAAATACCCAGAATATATTGTTATAATAATTAGAAACATAAAAAACACAGACACAAAACACATAGATGACGCAATTAAATTAGCAGGCTTTTTATTTTAGACTTGTGGCCTTGCGCAAAGTTTTTACCCTTAAAAAGGAGAACTCTGAGGCGAGTGATTTATACTTATCCTCATAGTTGGAGCCGACGTGTGACATTGAAACGGTCACACGTCAGCTCTATTGATCAGGAAGTGAGCGAACACATACCGTCACTCTCTCACTTCCCCATCATCTCCCTGCAGAGAGCGGTGACTGTCAGTCACCGCTCCTTGCAGGCATTCCCCCCTTCCCTCTCCGATCCTCCAGCACCGACTGGAGGAATGAACATGGGAGGAGGGGGGCATAGCTGCCTCTGCCTCCAAATAGGCAGAGCCCGCTGTCAATCAGCCAGCTGGATGGATATACCGACAGTATTGCTGGGATCCGTCCCAGCTGCTGCGCTCTTTATATATATCAGTATAGCCTATCCCACCTCAACCTAACCACTGAACCATCACGTTCTCAAACAATTCATCCCCTCACAGCTACCTCCTCATGTATCACTTTCCCCCTCCCTTTTAGATTGTAAGCCGTGACGGCTTACGTGACGGGCAGGGCCCTCCTTACCATCTTGTCTTAAATTGTATTGTAATGTCTTCCTTATATTGTAAAGCGCTATATAAATCCTGTATAATAATAATAATATAGCAAGCTATAGCCTGCTATATACTGAGCTTTAAGTCACGGGAGGATGATAGTATATGTCCTTCCGTGACCCTAAAGAGAACTATGGGATCAAAAGGTTACCCCATAGTTCTCTTTTAAGAGCCAATTCTTAAGGTCAGTAATTCACTGTAACCAATCCATCTCATCCGGGATTGATTTTTGCAGAGTTAATTCTCATTGGCTGCTATAGATTATTATACTTAAAGTGAACCTGTTCCCAAATCATGCACTTAAACAAAAGAAGCACTTTATAATATTGTGGAGAAAATTATTTTTCAGTTGACGATACACATCCAAATCTTAGCTTTGTTTTTCTTTACAGCATATGTTGGCAGGCTGCCAGCCATCCAATGTAAACAACCAGCAGGTGTTTCTGAGTGGTTAGAAACAAACAGATACTGGACTCAAGCCTTTTTTGTGATCTTCAAGGATCTTTGAGAATAGAGAAATACTTCACATTAAAAGCAGCTAGAGAAATTAGGCATGACTTGTTTAACATCTCTTTTATTGCTGGTTAGCAATATGGCCATACTCTGGGCACAGATGCTCTTTAAAGTGTATTTACCCATTTGCAGCTGAATTGGGACAAGAGCCGCTTTATATGTTACATGATCCTATTTCCTATTTACACATAACATTATGTAGAAAAAAAAATTACAACTTACAATTTTTACTTGCTGTTTTTTTAAAAGAAAAAAAAAAAAAGCCAAAACTGAGGTTTTTCCCTGCTATGTAATTCTAAGGTGGCGGCTGGGAAGTTTGTTTACCACAATTAACCCTGTGCTGGCAGATCGGTAAACTAGATTTATCAATGCCTGCCCTAGTAAAGGGTTAAAGAGCTCAGAGCTTATGTATGGAGTTGTATTTTAATGAGAGGAAACTGAGCCTGTACCCACAGTGTCACTCTCCACGTTCACAATGTTCAGAGTAGCTTGCAGTCTGCTAAAAGGACTGCTCTACACAGACAGAGGTAAGAAATATTTTCTTTAAAAAAATATATATATTTTTAGGTATGCTGTGTAAATAGGAACACAGCACCAGTGGGGTTTTCTTAAACTGCACTGCAAAAAGTAAAAAATATACTTACAAAAATAAGAACTGTTAATTGAATAAGGCTGAACAGGAATCAAAACCAAGTTAGAGTGAGAACTGCAGGAAAGAACTAAAAAACAAAAATGTTTCCTATATTAGGCTAGCTATGTTTTTCAAAATAACTTCATAAAATTATTTGCAGCATTTTAAAAAGGTAAATATATAAGCCTTGGGGTGCCGGTAAGTGCTTGTGTTAATGTTCAAAGCAATCTGTCCCTGTGAAGCATTTGGGTTTCTAGGCCCAAGCTCTACACAAGGGCCTCAAGTCCAACTTCTCTCCGAATTGAGATCAAGACTGCTCCCTGTCAACTGTAAAATGCCACATGCTCTACTACCTACTGAGGTTTCAACAGGGTTTAGCACTAGATAGGGCAAGGCTTAATCTCACTTTAGAGAGTCCCTATGTACATCCTGGCACTATAATCCAAGGGCTCCACAGGAATTGTCCATAACACGGCATAGGGACTTACAAGCATAACCACATCACTGTTGCAAACGTAGGCCCTTTCCTGATCAACTAAGGTTTACTTTAAGAAAATTGTCTTTTCTATCAAGAGGCAAAAATAATGTAGAATCTCAGTGTATGGGAGATCGTGTCTTATAAATCAGAAACGTTTATCATTTACGTCCACATCAACTGGTTAAGTAAACTTCAAGTTAGTGTTTCATGTTAAAAAAACATGATTCATCTCTTAAAAGTTAAACTTTAGATCAATATTTTATAATTAGAATGATAAGTGAGCATGACATAGCAACTGACAGGGATTACAATGACCACCGCCATGGCTGTAAGAGGAAATTTCTATCCGTACCTTCTTTATGTATGCAAGTATCGATCAAACATTGTTTCTGTTTTTTTGCACAAGCATTTCCTAACAAACTAGGTAAAGCAGATCTTTAAATATTTACTTTGCAATCTGAAAGTACTGCAGCTAGATAAATATTTTGTACCGAGCTGTGTGGTAGTGGTGTTTGCATGCTCCAAAGGAATAAAACTACTGGTATCATGTGGTGTACCTGGCAACAAGCAAAAGTATATTTAGTGACTGAAGAAAACAGAAGCATTTTATGAAAGTACAACAGTCACCAGACTAAGCTTTCTTGAACCATTATATTAGTAGCAATTGCATTTCTTTCATTCAGATTTCAACTGACAATGTAGGCGTGATATAATGCAGATGTATCATTAATGGTCAAGACCACCTCTAATGGGATTACGGAAAGTAGCTTTGGCCAGACTTGACCTTTAAAAAACACCCTACTACTGTGACATTGCCACCAATTGGATTCTTCGATACGAAAATGGTTGACAATAGGGGCTCCCATACTAAAAAGAGTGTTATAACGGGGATGATGATATTTTCCAACACATAGCACACTTCCTACCTACTCATCCAAGGAAGAGAAGCTGCCAACTGTCATACTGTTGCCTTTGCATACAGTTTTGCAGCTAAGGAATTAGTTCAAAATGTTTCTTGTATTGCAGTATGTTGCGGAAGACAGACCATTTATTTTGAATGATTGGTCAACGCTGGAAAAATGGGCCAGCATGCTTTTTAACATTAAAGTGTAGCACATCAGGGTGCATTGTAGTCCACTATATACTACATATAGGAATGGATTTCAATGTAATGCAACCACTATGGTGTGACTGTGAAGGATCCCTTACAAAGAAATATATCTGTACAGGTATGAGAAGTTTTAAACTACTGTTCTTTAAATAAAACCGAACAGAGCAATAAAAACCTAACAGAGCTTTCCCACTCTACTAAAAACTGCATTCATTGCTGTTTATGAGATTTACGCTCGCTTGCTGCCCTGGTGATAGAGGGGCTGGAAGTAAAGAAAGAAATAATCCTAACAGGGGAGACATAGCGATAAATGGAGCTTCTAACTTTACAAAAACAATTTGCATGGGGATTTGGTTTCTTTTTTCAAAACAAGCTGGTAACTACAACAGATGTTTTAGAACAAATTTTTATGTAAGGGGTAAATTACACTTTTCATGTAAGGGTGCCCCCCTAATAAATATGATTACATGCATATTTTAAGATAGCACATGTGATTTTAAATGTCTTTGTTAATATAACTTTTTAATTAATCCAGCTAGGCTTTTTATCACTGCTGTGTAAATCCACTTTCATATAATGTATAAAGTTTCACATTCAACAGCTTCCAATATCTGAATAAACATCTCTAGTGCTGATTTCTGTGCCATTTATAAACTGCTAATAGTGGGAGTCTAAGCACAAACTCTTAAATATGATATAGATATTTAGAAAAGAAGGGATGTGTGGGATTGAGTCGACTCAAGATTTTTAGGCGAGTTAACTGCAAATTAAAGTAGAAGCCCAGTCAAAAATAAGAAAAACAGTCTCTTAAAATGATAAAATTTACAGTACCGGCTTTAGCTGTAATATTTCACTTTCAATCCAGAATTCCCCCCAAAGTACTTTTTTTCTGCCTCAGAGTAACGGCCAGCATCATTTAAATTGCATCATCTAAACCCAGGTCCTCCTGGACCTTGCTCCAGCCTGTGACTGGACAGTGAAAGCAGAAGCAGCACAGTAATGAGCTTATCTGTCACTGCTTTCTCTTCTCATCAACATACTTCTTGTGAACACAAGATCTGATTGGCTGTACAGGGACAGCAAGAGGTTGATACAAAGTCAAATTCAGGTTCTAACTCTGATTTTATTTAAACAATTTTAATGATTTATTAGC